CCATCCTTCCCTCTCGCTTCTTGCCGCACTGCTGCGGAAGGAACTCATTCGGTCGGAAAAGGGGGGGGGGGTTAGACGATTCCAATCTCCGATGAACAATTATAATGACGGATGACACAATGGTTGACGGCATGAAAACGGTTCGTTACAAGAGAGAGCGAATAGCACAACAATTCAGTCCTTCACTATGTCCCAAAAAACTCATGCTAGTCACGACTTCTCCCAATATCCCCTGCCACCTATAGATGACAGAAGACAACAGAATGTACTTACATGAAATAATCATCAGTTGACAAGGCTCATAAAATTCACATTTAATGCAGATATACTCCATGTACAATGATATTACAATCAAAATTCATGAAAAGCTTTTACTAATTTTGACAACAAAACAAAAATTCATTAATGATCAAACATAACAGCATTTAACAAATTACATACATTTTCTTCTGATTTGCAGGATATATTATGTACAATAATTACATCTTTCTAATAATGAATTTCATCTACAGCCTAGAATACATGAAAAGTATTCTGGAATGTTAGTTTGCTACTCTATTAACAATCCTGTGGAGTTTGCAAGTGTGGTAGAACCAAGTTATAAGTGTAACCAAAAACCCACCTTTTTTTTCTTTTGCTCAAATGACAATGCAGTTCTCTATGTTCAAAACCTCTTTCTTGAGCTACTTTAAAATGTATGTACACACAAGAAATAAAATGAGCAAAAATGGAAAGCTGAACCTCTACAAAAGGCTAAGAAATTACAAAGCAAGACATTAAAAGTCTGAGAGATAATAGAATATACTTTGGTAGTGATTACACAGAAGTCACTGTCTCCAATCTTTCACAAAGAAAAATTAAATGGTTTGGCCTGAATGTGATATTTAAGATGAAACAACTGCACTAATACTGATAATGAATATATATGAGCTTCTTCATTTACTGACAAGAGAAAAAGAAACATACCTACATCCAACATTTCTCCTCATCAATTGCAATAAAAGCAAAGCTTGATATAGATAGTGTAAAGTTGACTCACAAACACTCTGTATTAATGGTAATTTTAAAATAAGGTAATAGTAAGTACAAAACAATATAATGACCGGGGGCTCCTCTCTATAAAATTCGTTACAACAAACCTTAACAGACAGGGGCGAAAGTAGATTTTTAAAAAGTTTAAGAGGTTCAGCAAATCAGATGAAAACAAATAAAAGCCTATTGTAAGGCCTCGGTTTCCATTGGATTGTTACGCCTTTGCAGCAACAGCACTGCCTCCAGAAGCAGGTTTGTTTCCTTGAGTTTTGTTGTTGTCCTGCTCCTTCTCTAACTGCCTTCCCAAGTATTCCCTGCAATAATAATATGATAGATATTACTTTGTCTTTGATAGAAGTCTTTGATATTCACTTTGAGGTTCTCAGTAAGTTTCTTACCAGTTGTGTACCATTAGTTTTTGAACTGCCAACAATGCTTCATAGCGCACATTAGGGTCATCATGAGCAAGAAGTTGCATTACTGTTTGCTTGCCTCCAAGCTGCTCAATGACACTGTAAAATGTACATTCGTTGTAAAATGTGGTTTTGAAGAAATTACAAAACACTTGTTTGAGAATAAAAGAAAAGAACACTGTGTCATATTTACTGTTTTCCACGAGGATAATGACGGACATATTCTCCAATATCAAAAGCAGCAACAGCTAATACAAGGGGGTCATGACTGTTCTGCAGAAGGTGAGTCAGAATACGAAGCAATTCATAGTTCTTTTCATTCAGGCGACCTGCATTCTCCCTCCAGAATTGAGCCGACCTATGGACTGGGCTCCACTCCAGGCGTCCAGACTTAACTTCAGTGGCATACTCATCAAACGAACTAAAATCCAACAGATATCCATTTTAACAAGAATAATTCAAACAAATAAATAAGAAAATGTAATTACTGAAAATGGAAAAGTCTTACCTCAGGTCTTGAACTGAAGCCTGCAAACGTTCGTTCAAAAACTCAATATCAGCAACAATGTCTTCATCATCAAATTTACGCTGTTCCAAAATACTTAGTTGCTTCAAAACTTTGCTTGAAACCATTGCCATGCAGTGGTCCTTTGAAACCTGGCTATCAGCAGGCTTTTCAATCATATTCTGGTAAACAAAACATAATGATTTGAAAATACTGAACTTTTGAACCTAATCATCTGCCATGTGCCACCCATTTTTCAACCACCTCAAAAAAAGTAAGTTTGTTGCTCTGGTTTTAGAACATTCCTCTGATGGTCCTTTGACTTGTCTGGGCCCAATCAGACCAAAACTGTGGGTTTAGACTATCCACACGGCCCAAAACGACCCTTCAAACCTCAAACGATACAGGAAAGTCCATTGTATGTATTGGGACTTCTTCCTGAATTTTCAGATTAGTGGTTCAGGAGCTATGGCATTCATCCAAAAAGGGTGTTTTCTAGTAGAAAAATGGGTGGTACACGTTTTGCCAATCCTTCTCAATACAGCTGCTATAGATAAGAATATGAAAGTTCTAACTCACCCTGAATACAGCAAGTATGATCCGGGTCACTTTTTCTTTCACAGAGTCGCTCAAAATATCAGCAAGAATTGGGATAACGTTAAATCTGTAAAAATATATAAATAAAGGCTTAGAATAAGCCTCTAACTGATTTAAATCACAGGCATACCTTTTGTAGGTATGACGGGAATGGGTCGGGACTCCAGCATGGAGGATGGGATTTGGGTGAGGTACCATTGCACTTATGGGAGAATGATACAGAGAATACTAGCCATAGGGGATGACGGTATGCAAATATGCTTCCATATCACTTACTTGTTCATCTTTTCTGCCAAAAGAGGATTGAAAGTGAGCACCCAAAGGCAGAAGACCAGTTGATATTGAACTTGGAAGTTAACTCTTCCTCGGAGGACTGATATGATAGTAGAAATGCCGTCAACTGCCACAAATGCTAAACGATACTCATCAATGCGCAGCATCATTTGCAAGCAACGCCCAACTGATTGGACATACTCATTGTCCTATAATAGAAATTTCAAAAGGAATATATAAAAGTTGATAAATATAAGAGGGGAGTAGGATGGGTATAAGATAGGATATAATATTAATTACAGGTTTCTTCAGTTGATCTTTCAGCCAGGTAAGATAAAAATGCAAATCAGACTTCTCCATTGTTTCCTTGCTCCAGCATGCCATTTTAGCAATTATACGAGCAGTCATGTTTGTGATGAATTCATCTGGACGGTTCAGAAGATTTAAAAATGGACCCCAAACTGATTCTCGTTTTTTCTGAGAATACTCCCGAAAGATTTCAACACGATGACGATCCTCCTGCAAACCAATTTTTTTTAAGTACATAGTAACACTTGACTCAAACAGGTTTTAAAAAATAATGAACAATAACCTGCAGAAGGTCGTCAATCATTATCAGAATGTACTGAATAGTCTGATCCTTAGAAACATGTCCGAGCAAATTGAGGAAAGTTTTGGCACACTGAGTACGGTGTTCTTTCAAGATTGCTTCACGGGTCGCTGCATCTGCTGCATCCAGAGGTTTGATGAAGTTGAAGTCTTCTTGAGAAATCATTTGAGATCTATCAAAGAAGAAAAGTACTGTCAATGGTCATCCTCAAAAGAGAGAAATTGTAAACATCACATAGAAATTAAATCTCACTGTAAGTAAGACTGCCAGTTAATATGCTGAGCACGGATTTCAGTTGCTTGTTGTTGCAGCTTGCTGGTAGCAGCAAGCATATCTGAAGGAAATATAAAGTTAATAGACAGAGCAAATTTCAAGTGAGAGGTCTTGGCACTGCAGTTGACACTGAGTATCTGTATATGTGTACATCATCAACAAACTTTTCAAAATATAAACAAGCCCTAGAGAAGACAATTATATAGATTAAGTAGGTAAAAAATTGACATAGAAATTGCATTTTCCAAAAGAAGGAATGAGGGTATGGACACTTAGATTTGAGAATCGGTTCAAATCTAACCTATAACTAAAGAAAAAGCTGGAAACCAAACTGTGTGATTACACCACTGGGGCAGTACGAAGAGCAGCAGTTTTAAAGTTGAAAGATAAACCTTGACGTATAATTTGAGAAATTACTACGAATTACCCATTAAATTTACCCACAATGGTATCACGAGTTTTTCTCAATACTTACCAATATTTTCCGCAGGGAGTTCTGGAATAACGTCTTGAATTGACTGACGTGAAGCAGCCATTTTTGACATTGTGAGGAAATTTCTTCCCAATCAAAGGACGAAGACAGATTTTCCCCAAACTGTCTTTTTCCGATATGCAATCACCTGTTTTGAGGCTGCTAGGTCTTGTGACTGTCAGACTGTCTGCTGACCATTGCCAACACAACAGAAGTTTTCGCAAATTAAAATCTCATTTCCTTTACTTTCAAGCTAGAGATGGGTCAACTGCAACCTTATTTTGCGTTTTTAAATCTTTTTTAGCATTTTTAATTGATTTAAATTAGGTATTCTTGCTATTTTCTATTCTAAAGCTCTTAGAAAAATATTGGATCTGATTGTGGTAACAATGATTTTGGTCGTGGGCTGAAAAATCGCCGCTGCACATTCTTCAGCTTTAAATCGTGTGTTGTGGTGTTTTGTATGTTGTGGTTCATGTCAACAACAACAGAAACTTCATGATGTTTATATTGAAAGCTTGTGTACTTGCTCAATAATGTTGTCTTATAGCGTGTGCCAAGATAGGTACGTTCAAAAACTGAACAATTAATGTTTCACTTATACATATTTTTGAATGTTTGCTCAATACATGATTTAAATTTGTTCATGTAACCTCATTCATTTAGGGACCAAACTCTTTTGATATTCCCACAGCATTTTGACTGTTCTATAGTTTAGACAGGTCTGTTTAAAAATGGCGACATTAAAGGGATTATTTGAGCCAAGTAAGTTCTTTTGTTGTTTTCACATGTATGCAAATCCAAACCACTTTCCATGTGACTTACATTCCGTTCCTCTTTCAGAACCCCGTTGTCAAAGGAATTTCCTTTTAGAGAACAAGAGAGATGTTAAGGCCAAATCAACTTCCAATAGAGAGAGAAACAATATTTCTACTAATTATGTTCCACAGGTAAAGATAGGAGGCACCTGATGAAACATTCCAGATAGTTGAGAGGTACTTTGCTCATCTTCAATGTGTATTTCAGAATTTAAGAGCTTCCATACGTCCATTACCTGCACGATCAGCTTCTTTTGAAAGGCCTAAACTTTCTGGTTGTCAGAAAAACAACCCGAAGCCTCTTCATCGTTCTAAGTAAGGAATTTTAACTTAATAACTGATTCACTTGCATCACATGCCAACCAGTTTCATGAGGGAAATGTTTTTTCTCACATTAGGCCGGATTTAAATACAAAACTATCTGACAATCTGTCTCTTGAATTAATGGAACGTCATCTGTCCAGGGACATTAAAACTGGTCAAGCAGCTCATTACATTCACCAAGAAAATGTGCCTTTTCAATGGACAGAAGTTTGCCCATCTTTGATTTCACATAACATATGTCATCAAAGTGTACAAACAGAAGAAAATAGTTGTGGAAATCTTTCAAAGTAACTGTTATTGGTGTTTGCTTTTGTTGTGTGTGTGCAGTGTGATTGTTACTTTGTTGTAAATTTTAATTTAACCAAAATTTGAAATTTTTAGACGGTTAGAACATTTTTCCCATGATGGCATATCCACAGCTGAATGTGACAGTGAAAACAACCATCCGTCCAATATATCAAATGCCTCTGGAGGTAACTCGCAAACAACTTCCAATACTGATAAAAACAGGTGCCCTAAGGCCACATTTGTCAAAACAGAGTCAGATAACAACAATCATCAAGAAGGGCCAGAAGTTGACTCCAAAACCTTCTCTTTAGTAGAGGATATTAAAGACATAAATAAAAAAAAAATATCCAAGAAACTAGCTTCTAAAGAGGTCTGACTATATTACCATTTACATTATTAGTATCATAACTTTGTCCAAACTGTGAAACAAACAGAAAGTTTCTTTTATGTTTAGGATGCAATCAGTGTAGCTCATTCCGACAAAGTTCGTCTCAACCATAGTCTGAACCATTCTACTAGTGGAATAGCATCTTGTGTGGTTAGTTTTTGTAGTACAATGTGTAATTGATCTAACTGTGCTAGTTTACCTACTCATCTGATTTGATCTTCTTAATTTGTAATTTAGGTATCTGATCTTGAAAGTGCTACAGCTACAACTTCAAGAAAATTGACCAGTGTGACAAAAACTTCTTCTCATGCTCAATACCCTTCTTCTTACCAGAAGGGAGAAATCCCTAAGTATGCTGATTCTTATTTTATTTACATTTCTTACATTTTATTTCCCTGTAGAATTATGGTTATTGTTTTTCTGTACAAGGTACCTGTGTAAAAGAAAGACTGAACAGGCTTTAGCATCAGCTCGTGCCAAAGAAATTGATCCAAGTTGTCCACCAGGTCATGTAGCTATGCCCGATGCTGAACGGAGAGAAACACTGGATATGATTTTAAAAAGTAGGCATCTTTAATGTGTTACATTGTATGTGTTTAATGCGCCAATTCTTACCATTTGTCTGATTTGCAGATTATAATAAACTTATAACCGAATTAAATAAAATACCTGTTCGGACTGATACCCTTAAAATGAAGCAAAGGAAGATAGAAATTGAAAAACAGCTTGATAAATTAGAAGAAGGGATTAGAATATTTTCCAGGTCAAAAGTCTATGTGAAAGTTGATGCATGAACTACTTTGTGTTATTGATTAGAAACTAAAGACTGATAGATAAATTTATCCTTACATTAACAAATTTTAATAAGAATTTTATGTATAAGTAAAAAGTCTATAGTAATAGTTATCAGAAGATTTCCTTTAAGTTTTGGTAGAAGCTGTCGGTTTGTGTTTCTGGGTTGAAGTGGCAAATGAGTATGTATTTCTGGTTTCACTTTTCCATATTACTTTTAAAAAATGTTGTATATTTAAGGACTGTAACTCTTATGTTTCTTCACTATGGAGGGCCTTCACTGTTACAGGTTCTGTATTGAGCACTAATTATATAGGAGTCATAGAAATTGTGTTGAAATTTTTCTTTCTCCTTAAACTGAGAAGTAAAAAGGCTTGCCAGTACAACAGGTTTCATAAGTCTAAGGAATACTTTCAGGCCAAGCATACACTTTTATTCTCTAAATCTCCGTACATTTTCACAATTTCATCAGCAAAAAATATAAAATACACACCATAACATCTATATAATTAAAGTCTACATAAACATTACATCAGTGAATAGATAATTCTACCCTGGTAGTGATGAAACAATGACTGTCTGAACAAACAATGACTCCCGATAGTCTGATATGGCAAAGGCTGACTGTAAAAAACAAAATACAGCTTAAGCATTTCACCAGCAAAGTCCCAAAAACCAAAAGCAAAACAGTTAATATGGGGACATTGTTCAATCAAAATGTGCCCATTTGTATTTTGGAGCCAAATAAAATCAAGATGAAAATGAGAAACTGCCAAAAGTACTTAAGACTTTAGATCTGGCATGGCATCAAGTCGAAGAGGGGAACATCACAAGGGTGGATGTTTTAGTCAGGATTTATTTAAGCAAAGCTTATCCCAGTCCAAAATTCAAAGTGCTTAGGAAATTTAACGCTTTAAAAATCATAGGGAATCTTCAAGGATCCGATTTAGTACAATGTTAAAATTTTTACTACAGCTTGATTTCTTCCATTATGACAGCAAAATTAGTCAACATGTTCTTTATGTAGTTGGATTTTAAAGACATGGCTAAAAAGAGATCACATCTTTCAGAGAATTATCCACAAGCTGAGCTTGAAGTAAATATGCCCAGAGTCTAACTGAACAAAATATTGACAGGCTAGATTAGCTAGAACAAGGATATTATGGGTCAAATCCATTGAGCCACTTCAACTGGCCATACCTATGAATATGAATTTGACTTCAGTAATTCTTACTTTAGCCAGACTCTTTGGGCTTTGCTGTAACAGATATTATGAAGTAAAACCTGTGGTGATATTGAAGCTTGATGTTACCACAGGCTTGGAAGGGCCAAGTAAAATATTCTTCACAACAGCAAATTTGAGAGGGAAATCAGAACCACAAACACTAATAAATATCCAAAACATCTGGTTTATGTGTCCTACCTTGCATTCATATTAGCAACCAGTAATAATAATTAATGAGAAAAATTGATTGGCTTGTTTAGGGAAAATTTGAGCCCACGGTTTGGCACCATGAGCCAAGTGATTGACAAGGCTGATCTTTCATATCAAGACTCTAAAATAGGTGTCAGCTATCTACAAAATAGAAATGGAAAGTGAGAATTGAAATATTCCGACATTTCCTTAATTCCTACACAGCAAAACATTTAATATTGACCCTCTATACCAGAGAAGTATTACACAAATTATTATTGCATGTAATTCACACATTATGCAAATTACAATTCAAAAAGATGACATGAGCCCATACCACAGCACTTTGAACGCTCCATTCTTTTTATCAAATTTGAGATACACAGCTAGATCTAGAATAAGTAAGGCTACACATTCAAATAAACTCAAAAATAATATTTTGGCCCACGGCTTGGTTGTAGAAAATTGAATTTCGGTCAAAAGAAAATTGAAAGTCTTACTAGATCACATTTCTCAATATAAGGTAGCTCCACCATGCATTTTGAAAATAACTTTTCTGTACATATTCTGATTGAAAGCAAAGTAAAACTCTGGCAAGCTTGACAAGACAACCCAAGTAGACTGGTGACAGTTTGCAAAACACTTTTAGAACTGCTGAGACCCTAAGGACAAAGGTCTTAAATTTTAGTCTTTCTGAGACACATTGCTTTGGCATTCCTACACACAAAGGACACATTTTTTGGTCATTTGGCAATATACAATAGGGATTGATGGTGACCCTAGAAGTTATTGAAAAAGAAAACTAAATTGGTCGTAAAAATCACAGATTCGAAGCTGAAACATTCATGATTTCAAAGCACGATGAACAAAGTTCTCTTCATCAAATTGAACTTTTCCTGAACTAAAGTATGGTTCATCTTCTACTATCCACTTTTCATAATCGAAGCTTGGAAAAAACACTTCAATTTCCCTTAGAGCCGACTCCACGGAATCTAAAAAGAATAAACAAAAGAACAACATAAAAAGGCATCCCTAAGTGTAAAATTCAAGTTTGATTTCATTTGTGAAAGCCCCAAACAACAGAATTTCTCTTACCAGATCCGTGAGTAGCATTCCTTGTGTCAGATAGTCCGTAATTTGCCCTGATAGTATTAGGGGCTGTGTAAACAGCTTGATAAACTTTGGTTGGACCCATTAGCTCACGCCAAGTTCTGATGGCATCCTTTCTTGCTAGAATGTAAACCTCAGATGGACCACTGAAGAAATTGAAATCCAAATTAAACAACCTTTGAAAGAACAATAACTTTATGAGAATTAAACAGATAGCAGTGCATTCTTACCTGCACATAAATGTGATCAAACGATTGTAGAAAAAGCGCTCTTTATGCTCTGAATAGAATGCTGCAGCCTGGTGTTTTGTAATGGTTGTTCTTGTTGACTTGACCACTTGAAAGCCATTGTCAATAATGCAATTTCTCACATTCTACAGCAAAGAGAAAAAAAAAATATGCCTTAAACGGTCATTTGCCAACCAATCTGACATAATCAGACCTTAAGGAAAGATCTACTGGAATGCTGGTCTCTACTAAACTTGATATTGGAATAGATGGGGACTCCCGTTCCTAACAATTAAATTAACATGGCTCAGATAATGAAATCAAATTTTTACACAATTTGATTAAAGAGGGCAACTGGTAGAGTGGTGGATGTCTCAATGATACACATCTGCATGACATAGATTACTACAATTTCAATTATACAACTTAGTCTAGAAAACATACAAGGGACTTTAAAAAATAATTTTATTGCTACAGAAAGAAAAACAAAAAACGTTTGTCTGTGAGTCTAAAAGGGGAGAAATAGTAATTAGAAAAGACACTCAAGTAGACACAAATTATTGGATTATAAAGATTCATTTCAAGCAAGTGGGGGAGACACAAGATATTTAGTGACAAGTAAGGCTTTTTACATGTGCTGCTGAAAATCATGTCAGAAGGTTATTTAATAATCATGGAAGGCCTAGAACAAAAACTTAGTCCAACATATTCATCAAATGAAGCTGAGCAACATATCTTTGGTAGCTAGGTCCCTCAAAAACTGCAATTAACTCCCATAAGGAAATACTTTAAATAGAGTAAAGTGTTCAAAGGAGAGAAGAGACAAACAGCTTCCATCTATGTACAAATAAATTTGCATTTTCAAAAACAATAATATACTTTTTCCCAAAACACACTGGTTATCCACAAGAGGATTACATGGCGCAGCTTGCAATTATCAGTGATCTTTTGTTTAAACAGAAAGCAATAAAACTATATACAACCTTAAATTGAAATGACCACTGTAAAGAAACATTGTTCCCCAACTATATAACAAAAAAACTAACATAAAATCTCCCCAATCAATAATGATCCATGGCTCACTCTGAACTACTTTCCATGAGCCAACACCACTCCAATAAAAAAAAAGAAACAAACATATAAAACTGCATTTTTAATTGGACAAAGAATTACGTTGACTGTAACAGTGTACACAAGTATCAATTCCAAAAAAAGAAAAGAAAAAAGGAAACAATAAATAAAAATGGACGCTCTTGCTTGAAATCACACAGAATATGACCTCCTTGACCCATAAGATAACACAAGTTGGCACAGTGCTCCCACAAGCAAAAAGATGGTTGAATGACTATCACAGGAAAAGGAGAAAAAAAACAAAAAGGAAAAAAAAAAAACTGGCAAAGCGGATAGTAATTCAACACAGTATTAGTGAGCAATGCAAACAAAAGTTAACTGTTATTAAACTTAAACTGATGTATGCTACGGTTGATTCAGAGCACATCTATGCATACATATTTTTTTTTCTTAAAAAGCGTTGAACTAAGTTCATTGTAGATCTGTTGACACACTAAATTTTAATATATTTATATTCAAACAACCTATTTGAAGAGCAATGAATTCAGCTTCATTATGTAGCTAATCAACCATTTAATTTTATAAATAACAAAAGAACTATGAATGCTTAGATGATTACCATGTTATATAATAATTAATTTTTCAAAATGCTTTAATGTGGGCTTGCCTTTGTAGATCAAAAAGATATAGGAGATAAATAAACTATGTTTTCTCCTTTTTGTCCCACCAGCCATTGTGTGTGTGGAGCATGGGAAAGCAAGTTCACATCACCATTTGCTTTCTGTTGTTCTTACTTCACAACATTAGGGCATCACAGTAAAGGCTCATCTTAAAATATAGAATTTCACGTCACAATCAATATCACAAGAAAATGTTGAGTGGGGAAGGACAATATCCTGTTATAACTCCATGTCCTGTACTTCATCTTCACTGAAGTCAGAGAGGGAGGATTCACTGTCTGAAGAAACTCCCTCCTGTTCTTGCTCTTTCAGTGCTTCCTCAGTTGCATACTTGCGAACATACTCCTGCACTTTCTTCCGATACTCTTCTGGTTTATGCAAAAACATAGCAGCAGCATCACCATTTAGAGGATCAATGGGATTTGGGTATGCCAATAGCTGAGGCAAAAAAGACTCAAAGATGTTTGACAGATCATATAGAGCTGTCCAAGCTTGATTGATGACATCCAAGCACACAGTACCAGACACCTCATCAATATTAGGGTGGTACACTTTGTTCATAAAGCCGATGGAAGGTGACTTAAACGGATAGTGCTCTGGAAGATGCACTCTCACCTTCCATAGACCCCCTTCATATGGAGTACCCCTTGGCCCATAAAATTTGACACAAAATTCATTCAATCCACCAAGAATGGTAACTTCGTGTTTGCTTTCAATTAGCTTGATCACATCAGTGTCCATGCGACGTTTACCAGCACTGGGAGACGACATGGTGACCTTTTCAAATATGGACTTAGTTCTTTGTTTACTCTAGCTCGATCTTAGCAGAGACAGACAATGGCGAACTAGGCCAATGGTTGCGTCATAACCTGGAAAACGTGAGGGACTTTGGTGATATGAGGCTTCAGGATGGCCAAGGTGAGCTGACGACACTTTGAAGCAGTACTCATCGTACAGTGAACACGTCGAGATCAACAAAGATTTCTCTGCAACAACGAAGAACCAGTGGAATCCATATTTTCAGGGTCTTAACTAACTACGCCTTCCAAAACTAAGTACGACCTGGCAAATCTCGGTCAGCTGTTTTTGACAATCATGTATAAGGCTGTGAAACGATGGCGTCAGTTGTCGTCTGCAGTGTTCTGTACATAAAAATTTTGGTTTTGATATGTTGAACAGAACGTAAGCATACTTTGATTTTAGTACAGCTATGTAATGGTGACACCAACTCATGGCGAGCCACAACGGAAATGCTCCTCAGCAACACTTTGTGGAAAGGATAGACTACAACGAAATTCAATTTTTAAAGGTAAGCTTGTCAGCAACTTTAGGCCTAATTTGAAACCCTGGCAAATATCTTTTTTAAAAGAATGCATACTATTTCCTTTTGTTTTTCCCACTGTTTTGGCACAATTTTTGTGAGTTGTCCAAATTATCATTACCATTAACTTTTATTTTGATTTCGAAGACCCAACTGTGTTTTGAATGTTTTCACGAGCGTCTTTGTGATGTTTAATTAAAGAGTCAGGTACTAACTTTTTATTTCAGGTTGTAGGTAAAGGATCATTTGGTGTCGTCTACAAAGGAATATGGAGAGGCAACACAGTTGCTGTCAAACGGATCGAAACAGAATCAGAGCGGAAGGCGTTTATGGTTGAGGTTCATCAGCTCTCCAGGGTTTCCCACAAGAACATAGTAAAACTTTATGGAGCTTATATCGATGAACAACAAAATCCAGGTCTTGTCATGGAATTTGCAGAGGGTGGATCACTTTATAATGGTAATTTATGTTTTAGAGCATAGTTATTATTATTGACAGGAAATCCTGAGGTAATTTTGTCTTTGTTATTTAACTTTCATTTTCAGTATTACATGGGCGATCTCAAAAACGGTACACTGCTGGGCATGCTATCAGTTGGGCTCTTCAGTGTGCCAGTGGTGTCTCTTACTTACACAACATGAAACCGAAAGCCCTTATCCACAGGTAAGTAACTGAAGATCGATGTAGTCTCGGCTAGTGAAGGTGAAGCCACCCCGTCATTTGGTTTAAGTAAACTGATTGGCCAAATGAGAACTGAAGCCAACTTTAAGCTGGTTTCAACCAATCAGATTACCCAAAACAAATCAGAAAATACTTTAAAAACACTGTGAACCATCCTTTTTTTTGTGGATAGTGCAAACACACATCTTGTTTATCTAAACAATCCTTTCTCTCTTTTCCAGGGACCTGAAATCTCCTAATTTACTGTTGGTTGCAGGAGGAGAGTTATTAAAAATCTGTGATTTTGGTACTGCTTGTGTTAAAAGCACATACATGACTAATAACAAAGGCAGTGCTGCGTGGATGGCTCCAGAGGTTTTTGAAGGTACAAATAAGAATTATCATTGTAAGTATATAAAAAAAAAAAAAACCTTCAATGTATTTTTTATGATGAATGTTTGTTTCTAACAGGGAGTCAATACACTGAGAAATGTGATGTTTATAGTTGGGGTATCATACTGTGGGAAGTTTTGAGCAGGCGGAAACCTTTCAGTGAGAGTGGTAATGCTTTTCGCATATTGTGGGAGGTATACAAAGGTATTCGTCCACCTCGAATTCAAAACTGTCCAAAACCAGTAGAGGATATAATGACAAGGTAGAGATCAAGACAAAGATTTCTGAAAATATTTATTTTAATTACATGCTTTGAAACAAAAGTATTCTAAAGTGAAGTTTGGATAATGAATTTTTTCATTCCCATAGGTGCTGGGATAAGGACCCTAATCTGAGACCTCCCATGGATGATGTTGTAAATTATATGTCTAAACTCATTGATCTGTTTGGGAACTACAATACACCTATTGAGAAACTAGCAGGTTTGTGTTGCACCCATAGTAACATTTCTTTTTATTGTTATCTATTTCAGCCATTATTGATTCCTTACCTTAATTTACAGAGCAAGAACCAATTGAAGAGAATGATGAAGAAGATGATGCCTATATTTCAAGTTCACACACCGGTAAATTACTGTTGAAGGAGGGAAAACATTCTGACATTCTGTAGTGGGGAGTATAAATAGACATTCTTGTACATTTTCTGTTTTTTAAAATTCCAGGTGACAGCAGTACTTACAGCGCAAATGGTCTCACCAATGGCACTGGGCAACGGCGCGAACCCGTTATGCCCAGAACTGGAGATCCCAGCAGTTTCCCACCTTTAACGCTTGATGTTGACCCTGTACCTGAAGGTCCAAAGCTTAGCATTGCACCCCACAACCCATCCAACGGCCAGGGGCCTCCTCTAGACCACCCTTCAAGTCAATGTAAGTTGTCTTGTGTCGCGATACGTAGTGTAATTGGGGGAGTGGGAAGAGAGGGGGATGCGAATGCGCGAGACCGAAGAGTGGGGGGG